TCCCCGCCCCGTTACCCATTTAAGCGGGTTTTCCCCTCCCCGTTCGGGGCGGGTCCCCACGGGTATCGGGTTTGTTTGCCATCCCTAGTCCCAAACACCTTCTAAAGATGTTTTCTTCATTTCAAAGTCTTTTTCAAGTTCAAAACAAATTTCAAATCCCAATTTGGCTTTCAAGTAGACTTCAACTAGAATTCATCATGTAAACTTGAATAGAATTCAACAATAGCATTCCAAATAGAATTCGTCTTAATGTGCATTTTAATTAGAACTCCAAATTATCTTTAACAAATAATTCGGGTTACATGCAAATTCTAACAATTTTTACCTTGATACAAATTCTATTGCAATAAACAAAACTTAAAAAAAAAAAAAATAATAATATTTCTCCACATGGAGATAAATTCCACTATAAGGAATAGATTTGTTCAATGAAAAATAAGAACGAAATTCTCCATAAAAAATTCTAACTAAAAATATTCTTCACTTCTACTATCCCAACTAAGGATAAAAGTGTTTTAATGACTACCAAACAAGGTTGAAACGTGCCTTGTAACAAATCACAATTAAATGCATCAAAAGAAGGATCTTGGCTAGAATCAACGCCATTAACTGTATTCAAACCATCAACAATGAGGTCATCTCCATGACCCTCAGATGCAATAAGATGCTTCATCTTCATCTTCTCCTTTGAATATAGAGTATTGTAGACTTCTTTGACAGTGAGAGTATCACGACTATATAAAATCGTATTTCAAAAAGACATGTATGAAGTCAGTAATGAGTACAATAAAATCAATCTCAAATATTCTTCATCATATTTGACCTTTAAGATCTCTAAATTAACGATAATTTTCTTAAAAATAGTTAGGTGATCCTCAAGAGATGCATCTTCCGTCATACAATATAGACGTTGATTCAGATATAATTTACTAGTAAGACTCTTCGTCATGCATAATTGCTCCAACTTTAAGCATAATGTAGTAGCTGACTTCTCCTTCAAAATGTTCTAAGAATATTATTCGAAAGATGAAGATGCATTTGAGATAAATCATTTCAATCCCTCCGTTGTTTCTCTTCTAAAGACCAAGTTTTGGGCATCTTATCAAATTCCAACAACGGGTCGTCCAAATCCATTTGAACGAGTACTGCTAGCATCTTTACCTACCATAAAGAGAATCTTGTATTGCAATCTAATAGAGAAATACCATACTTCAATGTTGACATCATGAAATATCAAGTTGTGCTATTAACTTGATCAAAATCTCGATCTTGCCAAGAATTTTAAAATCAAAAACTTTGATACTGGTTTGTTGTGAAAAACAGAGATAATGTTGGATTAATCGGATACCAAATTGTTGGAGAAAATAAAAGTTATAACCACAATATGAAGTAATTGTCACAAGAACAAAAAATTGTATAAATTGAAGATATTATTTTAACATGGAGAAAGAATACAACAATTTGTGCTTACAACTTTTGTCAACTGCTTCCTAAATCATAATGAAGAGTCAACTATATATAGAAAACAAATAGGGAACGTTCAAACCCTAATAGTAAAATTGTAGTTGAAGTAGAATACTAGAAATAACATTAAAAATGGTATACAAAACAAAACAGTGTAATGGGCACCACGATGCCACTCTCTGGGCGTCGCAGCGCCACTGCTGGCGCCGTGGGCTGAGATGCAATGTCGGCTCGTTGTTTCAATACATAGCTGCCGGCACCTATACGCCTTTTCTCCATCCCTAGCATCTTCAAATATGTTTTTCTTCATTCTAAAGTTTGCTTCAAGTCCAATGCAAATTTTAACTCTCAATTGGGCTTCCAAGTAGAATTTCAACTAGAATTCGTCAAGTAAACTTGATTAGGATTCAATAATAGTATTCCAAATAGAATTCTTCTTAACGTGCACTTTAATTAGAACTCTTATTTATTTTCAACAATGATTCAGGTTACACCCCAATTCTAACACTGAGGAAATTATAAATATCTGAAATTAAAATAAGATCATAGCAAATCCCTAAGAAGTTTAGTGGAAGTATATTCCTTAAAAAGTCCTACTTCACAAATGCATATTGCTAAAGTGTATCATGGACTTCGTATTTAAATCCTTTCAAGCTACTTAAACAAACTAAATAGAAAATTTAAACCGAATTGTCTATTTTTTGTGATGTCTAATCATGTCTTATTTATTGATTTCTTATTAAATATGTTGGACTTTGAATGAGTGGATGTGGGGAAAACCCCTTTGAAAATGGAATGAGTCAAGAAATTCTAGCCTTCCCAAATATGGAAAATATTCGCATGCTCAAAGTTTTTATTCATTAATCTAACCGAAAACATCATCAATCTCCAGTAACTTTGCTGTTTTGGGTGGGACCTTTATATCAGTATAAATTAGCAGTTTCAGTGTGGTATCACCCTTATATATCATTTCTTGAATTGCAGTTTCTATATTATGTGCATGGCCTTGCATCACAAGAATTATGTGGTGGCTGTTTTTATGATTCTCATGCTACTTTCACAGCAGCATTTTGACTTGACATATGCATCACGACGGCTGCGAAAAGTTCGCCTGCCAGCCCGTGTCCGGTGTTTGAACCTGCCAGAACCACGGAGAAGTATCGATTGTTTTACTCTCAACCGATATAAAAAGACAGAAAGTACAGAAGCTTTTAGGCCAACGCCGGGTTCAGACCCTGGACATAGTCCTGGTATGGGTCACAACACCCCACCCCGGGATACCGGTGAACTTTAAGGATATGTTGTTCATGTTGGACTGTACAATGAATAAAATTTTAACTTTTCCAGTGTCCCTATACCGATGGAGAATAATCTTTTCGGGCATGCTGCTTTGTCAGGTTTTCACAAATAATAAGGCATCTTCAGGAGAAGCCTTCTGTAGAAATTGGAATGTTTTAGAATAGTTCCCTTTTGAGGATGGTATTGCATATTTGCATGCATGGATTTGTTGATTTGCGTACAATTGGATTTGTTTTATCATTATTTTAGCTGATAATATCCCAATCATAAGGAGATTTTCGTGATGTTCCTCTGATCTTGGATTGAGTTTTTGCTATCGCAGGACCACTAGCGCACTTGTTATATAGCCGAAAGAAGAGTTACCTATGTGTGTGGGATTTCTTTTTTCTTTTTGTATTGTTCTTCATTGGTCATTTGCAAAGTGGTATAAGTTCATGTAATTTCATGTGTGTATTCGATATAATGGATGACTAGGCATGGAGGGATTATTTTGTTTTGGTAGGCTAGTTTTATCTATTAATCTTTCCTTGTGCCTATTTTGTCGTAGAAGGTTGGTTCACATGTACAATCTTTGTAACTTCAAGATATATCCATGGTTTGGCTAATTCCTATTTGGAAGGATGTAATTTCTTAACAATCGCAGTTTCTACTCTTACTAATAATTGCGTTTATCTATAATCGCGTGTAGTTTTCAAATTCGACTCGTTTATTGACCTACTTTCTTCGAGAACTTACGAAACTTTGAATTTAAAATTATTTTTGTATAAAGTGATGGTTGATAAGCTTAAGTATATATGTCTAAATGATATTAGGATGGTGGAAAAAGTATTAAAAATATTCAAGTGTTCATTCTTTTTATATCAAATAAGGAAAAAAGTAAAAATTTCGTTTGTTTATAAAATGTTCAAATAATAATTGCATCCTTGTAGAGTGTTTTATTGTAGTATAGAGACATTATTAATGTTTTTATGAATATCAACTTATTTCATTAGAATAGTTCTTTCTTAAAAGTCGTTGTAGATTATAAAAATTCTTGCAGCTAATGAAGAATAGGAAATCAAACTTCATGCATCTTTGGAGGGAGAACAATAGGAATAACCAATGTGGCACTTTTGAAAAGGGTCCAAAACGTGGAATATGATTTAACCATTCTCAAGTGATTCTAGTTTGTTAAAGAATTTTGTTACTTGTATATGGTGAATCACTTTGAACAAGTGCCAGATTCAGTGTTGGCAGACTGCATTAGCTGCCAACACTGCATTTTTTTTGATAGTGCTCAATGACAGAATGTGCATTCTATCAAGCTGTATGTACATATTTCCAGTAAATACAACAAAATCCTTTGTTATATATATTTGCAAAAAATAAAGTTCATAATATTTATTTAGGGTCCGTTTGATTGTAAATGTGAAAAATGGGTGGAAAGAAAATGATTTTTAGGGAAAATAATTGCCCAAGAATATTTTACAGGGAAAATGATTTCAAATGTGCTTGATTGATATAATTTTCCACCAGAAAAATTTTAAAATTTTCTATTCGATTGACTTTGTTTTACATGGAAAGTATATATTAAAGTGATAATTTTTTCCACAATTGGTTATAAAATTTGTTTCCATTGCCAAAAGTTAAAAACTTTGTTTCCTAAAAAATAGTTTTTTTATCAAAGTTTAGTGTTCGTTTGACTTTGTTTTACATGGAAATTGTCAAGTTGGCATATCAAACATAGCCTTATTGTCATACTTATGCTCTTAAAAAAAAAAAACTTCATCGCATTCTTATCATTAACATTCTACTTATTAGGATATCTTATCCCTAATGGCAATTTCTGTCCAAAATTTTCATTAAGAGGGAATAAAAAGACTTATTTGTCCCTCGAATTTTTAAATAAAAAAATAAAAAGAAAAATTGGGACTAAATATTTGGCCCTCGTGTTAAAGTATGCTAATAAGATTTTTGGACCAAAGCATGATTAATGACAATATATGCTAACTAGTTAAATATTAAGGATATGAATGTGATAAAAGAAAAAGTTAGAGACATAAATGTAACAATAAATAAATATTAGGGACCTCTAATGAAACTAAGGTGTGGTGCATTTAAAAATGAAATGTGAATAACCACTGTTCTAGTTTTGTCAAAATTAATCTACATTCCTATCAAGTTTAATGGGCGGTTTTGATTAGGGCAACTAGTTTTCGTAACGATTATCTTATTCGAACAAATAATAATGGCACATTAAATATCATTTTCTTCAACAAAATAATAATCAAAATCCGCGCACATGAATAGGCTTTTAAAGCTAGACCTCAGTCAGGTCGCGTCGGCTTATGCTAGAGCGTACCATACTTGAACAATGCAATTATGCGAATACGGATTAGATTGCATCATACTTAAAAAGTATTATTAAGATTCTTATCAAATTATTCAAAGATTGTTTCTTGTGGCAAATAATTTCAAGTCAAAAGTTTACTTATTTTGACGATAATATAGTTTAGTACCCACATTTTTTCTTCATTCAAGGATTTGATGATGATTATCCAAATCTCATTATAAAGTAAATCTTATATCAAATCTTTTATAATCATTTGCATAAACACAACAATTTCTACCCCACAAAGATATACATTTTATTGTCATTATTTGAATGGTTCTGAAGTTAATGGAAGTAAGCTGAATCATTTCATATTTTTTCTACCCCACAACAATATATTTTTTTTTTTTTTGGTGCAATCTTATTTACTTATCTGAGTTATTTCTATCTTAATCTAATATTAAATATATTATTCTACTTATTTTTCTTATATTATTCCAAATGAATTACAACAAATTATTAGAAACTGATGACTGCAGCAAAAAAAATTTTAGTGCTTCCAACCGTAAATGGTGAGAGTTCTAGTAAGCAGTGAATGTAGTTTTTATCATAATCATTAATATATGCTTCTCATTTTCCATTGATTTTGTGTAGCGCCTTTTGAGTTGAGTCATAGATTTTTGAGTCTTTACTCCGAGTTTCCAATATTGGATGAACGTCATGTACAAGAGGCAAATCGTGAACAATGAAATGAATAATCACGATTAACTTCTTGCATTATGAAACTCGTCAAATGTTAGAACATTAATTTGATCAGAACTCAAAAATTTATGAGTCAACTCAAGGTGTTACACAGTATTACTGGAGTCATTTCAAGCACGGGAACATGAAATCCAAATGTTTGTTCCAACATGAGAAATATATATCTATTATTTACTACAATTCTCACCAATAACAATGCTAATTGCATTTATTTGAAGCATTTTTGATAACTTCTTTCTAATTCTAATATAAATTTTATTATTCTACCTCATTCTTCCCTATATTATTTCAAATATGAGTTCAACCAATTTGACTTTTTAGATATTGGCTTGAACAAGTAAGCTATATTCGTGGCTCCAGAAAATTTTGAATTTTTTCTCCATCCTTTCTAGAATTCCTCTTCCAAATTATCTCTTTCCAGGTCATGGTTTATCAGTCAATTTGTTCAGGCCAATATTCATATGTAAATGTAGAATTGGTTAGAAAATAATATTATGTGGTACAAGTGATGATAGAGCACAAGTTAAGTGTCTTTATATGATATGTTCAATTAAATGTGAAATTATATGATTTATTTTGTTGTACATCTCATTTAATAATAATTAGTGTCACATAAACTGGTGTTATAATATCGATGATATTAAATAGTGTTACTCTTTGTTGAAATATGTCTTCTACGCGACTCTTCAAACTTCATTTAAAAATAATCCATGCATCAATCTTGAATAGGTAATCCAGCCCCTGTTTGACAATCATATTTTTCAAATTCTTTTTTTTTTACGTACTCATTTTCAACCACACATTTACATAATAAAATATTCTACATGTAAACATAAACTCTTCCCTACTTTTAAACCTTACATTTTCCTAAAAATCACCATTTAAAAATCTATTTTTAAAAAGTATGGTTGTCAAACAGGGGCTTAATGTAATTTAAGGTATGAAGATAAAGTTAAGGAAAAATTACAGTAACGGTCCCTAATATTTTACTTTTTTTAGACTTTACCTTAACCTTCACTTTTTGCCACCCACAATCCCAAACATTTCAAATATATGCACTTAAGGTCCAAATGGATGTTCATTTGACCGTTAATTGACCAAAAAAAAATTAAAAATCAATTTGAACCAATTTAAAAAGGTAGAATGGAAAAAAAATTTCTTTAATAGTAACAATTAAAATAAAAACAAAAGAAAAATAAAAAATTTGCCACCAAGCCCACCCCAACACCCATCTCTTTCATCTCTTCGTCGAAAAACACAAAACAGTGCACATACACCTGTTTCTTTCTATACCAAACAATGAACATACACCTTTTCCTTTCTCTTTCTGTGCCAAAAATCAGCAATTTTCTCTTTTGCTTCTTCCTTTTTCCCCTTTTATTTCTTCCTAAACGATATAAACACATATGCATATACAATACATATAGATACATATCTCTCTCTATCTGCGTGTGTGTGTAAAACACCATTCTATCCTCATTAATCACGTGTGTCTTTTTATTTTTCTTATTTTTTCAGCTTCATCTTCTTCTTTTTTTGGGTACATATATACACATATTCATTAAGATTTGAGATTCTATTTTAAAATGTTAACTCTATTAAAAGGAGTAGTTCAAACCCTTATGAATTGGTTTATATTTTCATTTTTATTCGAAGTAAAATTTTATCCCTTAACATATCCCCACAACATAGTGGCTCATTTGAGCAGACCAATCTTGAAATTCGTGTGCTCATTTTTTGAGTTTTAATAGGATCGAATTGCTCGTTGGAGGTTAATAGACTCTGATACCAAAGTTCCTTTTAAAAGGTCAACATTGTTGAAAGAAGTAGTCAAAAATCTTATAAATTGATCTATATTTTCATCTTTATTCGATGTGAAATTTTAACACTTAACATGCCCCGTAAGATGTGACTCATTTGAG